CTTGAATCAGCTGAAAAATAAGCAAAGGGTCTTGGCAGATGCAGGGCCACGCCTGACTTTGTGAATTATAAATTCACGGACTGGAGGCCACGGACTACGTTTGTAGGTGAGTATATGTCCCCCTGGAATCCAACAGACAACCTTCCGGTGGCTGGCAGCGTGGATCCTGGACTAGCTCCCCTCCAGGTGGTCACCCCTAGAGGATGGCAGAAAGCAGAGGCGGGATGCCTGTGCCCTCTGTTTCCAGCGGAGGGTGGCAGGCGCCGGGGCAAAGGGGACCAGCCCCCCCGTGGACAGAGAAAAGCGCCTGCCCCTCGAGGCTTCTCACCTCTGCTCCTGAATTTGCTGTGCTGATGTATTCCTCAGGGTGTCCGTCTCTGTGTTAACAAGTGGGTCTTGTGCACAGTGTTCCTTCCTTGGGCGGCTCTTGAGCGATTTGGGGACCACACTAATTTGTTTCCGAATGAGACGGCCAGGCTTTCCCACTCTTTCTACCATCTAGTCTGTGTGACATGAGGCCGCCAAAGTTCCCGGTCGTGCATACCCCGTGGCCTGTCCTCGCTGATCTGGGTGTGGTCGTGCACGTGGCTAGTGGCCACCGGAACAGCCTCGGATGTGACGGGGGCAGGAAGTGCTTGTGCTCGGGGCCGTCCTCTTGTCACTCTTGCAAACAGTGGGGCACCGTGTGACCTGCCACCTCACTCTGGAGAAGAGGATGTGTGCAGGGGGGCATCTGTGAGCCCGCTCCCCCAGCCACAGCTGGCCCTGTGGACACCCCAGCTGACAGCAGACACGTGACAAGCCAGCCCGGGCTGCAAACCATAATAATGAGCTAAATAAGCAATAGTTGTTTGAGGCAACTGTCAGAAGGCTCACTCTCGTATCGAAGTGTGATTTATGTGCCATAAACGACATCAGGCGACGTGCAGTCTGATACATGTCATGTGCCCACCACGGAGCGTGTCCATGCCACTCTGCGGCCGGTCCCCTCCCCAGACCCCCGTCCCAGGAAACCACGGCTCTGCTTTCTCCCGCACTTTGTCATTTCCACACTCCGCAGTGGGAAGCGTGTGGTCGCGTGTTGTCCCAGCGCTTTTCGAGATGCATCCGTGCTATGTAAGCCGGTACCAGCTCGTGTTCACCGTTTGGACAGTGGACTCAGCTCTGACTCCAGACAAACGCTCCCCCAGGAAAGTGAGGTGGGGAGACAGCCAGGGTGGGGGGACAGGCCTCCTCAGTCACCCACCCTGCCTTCCCAAAGCTACTGCTCAGGGAAGGCTCTTTCCACGGAAGCCCCATGATTGAGGGTGAGATGGTGGGGTCCGGGGCTCCCCTAACCCATGGTGCCCAGCAGAGCTCAGGAGGAATAGCACCAGGGCCTGGACTGGACCTGACATCACAGCAGGGTGACCCCGAAGCCCCTTCCGTCTCTGGGACCAGGCAGGGGTCCTGGCTCTGCCACCTTCCCCTGTGCTGAAGAATGAGCATAGCCTCTGGAAGGCCCAGTGAGCAGCAGGCTGGCCACTGGCCATTCATCATAATGGTCATGATCCCACTGTGAGGCGAGGGGCTAGGAGGGCGTCCCAGGCCCTCAGCCGACCGAGCCTGCCGGCATAGCCAGAGCCTGAGCCGGACTGACCCCTGGAGGCCACACCAGGCCCATAAGGCCCAGCTCTTGAGAGTGTGTGAATGCCCGCTGACCCAGATGCTCGGGATGCCGTGGTGTCCCCAGGAACCAGGCGTAGCAGGACCATGAGGCACGCATCTAACCTAGGGGATGCTGTGTGGAAAGACAAGGGAGGCCAGTGTGGCCAACACAGGCCATAACCTCTGGACACCTCATCGGGCCCTGGGTGGCCTGTCCCCCTCTCCCCAGAGCCCCCTCAGGTGGCAGCAGGGACCATGTGGCCCAGCATCTGAGCTTACAGCCACCTGGCCCCTGTCCCAGGCCCTGCATCCCCACTGAGCCCCAGGACCTCGCAGCTCAGGGATGTGGGCCGGAGGAGGAAGATGAAAGAGCTAGACGTGACTGGACCTCCTCCCTCACTGCCCCTCACCCCCCTTCACCTGCACCCACCTTCCTCCTCTGAAGAGGACGCTCCAGGACCTGCCCGTCTGGTTCTGGGCAGAGAGAACCCAAGAAGACCATCCTGGCTGGGCTGACAGAGTGGGGGTCGGTTGGGAGCAGGGGGCCCCTGCTCTGCTGAGCCCTCACTGAGAAGCCCCTGCTTTACAAAAGGGCACCAGGCTGGGTCCCACGAATGCGTGATCGAGAACATCTGAGGCCTCCGAAGGCTGTGAGGGTTCAGGGGCAACCCTGGAGACAAGGTGGGGGCCGCTCTGCCTCGGGTCAGAGGGCAGATCAGCATCTCCAACTGGTCCCAAGGGTGTCAGTGCAAAGCTGGTGCTCAGCCCAGAGGAGGGACCACGGTGGGTAAAGTGTAGCCTCCACACTGGGGTCTCCACGGGGACTCCTCCCCAGCTAGAAACCAGACCTGGGCAGGTGAGGGACAGCCATGGAGCAGACTCTGGGCCGGTGAGCTGTCCTCCAGACCGGACCACTCTGCTAGAGACCAGAAGCTGGGAAGCGGTAGAGGGGAAGGGTGAGGAGGGGCTCAGCCAAGGCGGTCACTCCTAGACAGAGGGGCAGGGTGGCTGCCCACTGCATGGGCGTCCCTAGCAGACCCCTTCGAGCCCTCATGTAAACAGTGGGAACAAAAGGGGCGGCCTGTAAGAAGCGAAGGGACACCCCCCACTCACGGCCTCCAGGCCAGGCGGGGCTGGGGCACAGTGCGTGGATCATTCATCCGTCCTTCCAGAGTCGGACGGGGGGTCTGGGGAGCGTCCTCTGCTTCCTCCGGTGGAGGGGAGCAGTCTCAGCAACCATCTGCCAAGGGTCAACTAATGATTTGGAAGCCGAAAACCTCTTTCCAAACAAAGCCTCATGGAAACCGCCATGTGTCAAAGAGAAAACCCTGGCAATGCTGCTTAAACTGGGGTCTGGGGGCGCAGCCTAGAGAAGCAAGCCGGGTGCAGCTGCACCCTCAGCCACCCCTGGTCACCCAGAGCCCCCACCTTACAGCTGCAGAGCCAGGAGGCAGATGAGGACGTTGGCCCGAGGCTGACCCTCTTGCTGACCAGATGCAGGCCATGAACCGCCCCCCATTCTTGTCCTGCAGGTGGTCCCGCCGGTGCTGGGCTGCCTGCCGGAAGGGCACAGCCAGGCGGGGCAGAAGTGACCCACTGCCAGGATGGGCCAGGAGCTCGGCTCCACATCAACGAAACACACCACACAGTATGAGAATTTCTGGAGCTCAAGGCCCTCGTGGCCCCAGTGGGCACACCTCAGAACAGGTGAGAACCACAGGGTAGGCATGTTGACCGCTTTACAGAAAGGCTAGTTCTGAAGCACCCAGAACCCCCACTTGGCCACACAGCCGAGTCTGGGAGCCCCCTGCCCCGTGCCCTCAGCAAACCTCCTGCTCTAGGGGGTCACTTGGCAGCTCCAAGGCCAGCCCAGGCCAACTGACCACCTAGAAAATCCACAGGTCTTGGCCAGGGACAATGTGGGCTCCTGTGATCACCAGAGGGGGCTGTGCAGGGGCTTTTGCCAGCGCCCCCATGCCAAGAGGGCACTGGACAGGCCCCCAAGTCCCAGGCCCCAGGATCGTGCTGATGTGCAGACACACCCTGACTGACCATCACAGCCCTCCCTGATGTCAGGTGGGGGCAGGTCAGGGAGGGCTCGGCTGAGGGAGGGCCGAGCCTGCAGCCCAGCTCCTCAGGACACAGTGAATGCAGAGGAAGGGGTGTTCCGGTCCCCCCTGGTGAAACCCCCCCCGGTCTCCCAGCATTGCAGAGCCTGCTGTGGGCACCACCCTCCCTGAGAGCCTCCATTTGGTCAAGTGTGAAATGTGGCGGAGACTCATGGGAGAGGACACACTGTGGGCCCCAGGGGACATCGGCACCCTCCCCTTAGGCTTCTGAGGATGCTCTCGCAGGTAGGATGACTGCACTCAGGGCCCCTCGGCCCAGGGCCCCAGGGCTCCCATGCCCTTGCCAGCTGGTCAGGCTGGGGGTCTGCTGCCTCAGAACAGACAGCTGGCTCCCCACCCGACCTTGTGAGCTTCAGCTCTGGTTCAGCTGTCTCCCCGGCCACCCAGACGGCCCACCAGCCTGCCATGCTCTGTTGTAAAAGGACCAGAGGTGTCCCTTCCCTAAAATTCCCACTTTGGCGGCTCAGCTCCCACAACAGCTTCACAAATACATGTGGGCAGGTGGCCACATGCCTGCATGCCCGGGCACGCGCACATGCACACTCACAGGGCCAGCCTCCCGCCTGGGTCCACAGAGCCAACCAGGACTTCCGCAAGTGGGTCTGAGGGTCTGCTCTGCAGGAACACGGAGAAGCCAGGAAAGACCCAGCCTTTGCAGCCAAAGCTGGCTTGCTGCCCCTGATCCGTGGACCAAGGGCGTTCTTCTTGCCAGCAGAGAGACCCAGGATGAGGCACGTTTCAAACGCACACACTGAAGCCACACGTGTACACACATGCGCACACCCAGGTGCACACGCTTGCCCTGAGCTGCCGGGCCTCACCAAAGGGAAAGCCCTGGAAAGACACCTGAGAGCTCTTTTTCGCAAACTCAGATTTGGAAGTCCTCCCGGAAGGGGGCCTCCTGCACCGTGACACGCCGAGGGCAGGACAGAGCTTCCGGAGGTAGCCTAGGGAAGGTGATCACTGGTCACCCCGGGGGTGCCCTCTCTGGGACTTCTCTGTCCACTCGCCCCACGGTAGCCACCCGGACCCTCGGCACCAACTGAAACACACCAGCACAGCGTCTGCCCAGGTTTATTTTGGAAAGCAAAGACTTGAACAAAGACTCGGAAAATAAATATCCACAGAAAGGATGTCCGCTAAGGTGAGGAACCTCAGCAGGTCAGCGGGAGGGGGGTGTGCAGAGGATCGTTTTGGGGTGGGGGCTGGACGGCGGGGCCCTGCTCAATCCCTCCCCGGGGGCAGGCCCCGGGGGCTGGCGCGCCGGGCACGGGGAGGGAGGGGGTGCGGGGCCCGCGGGAGCTCACACACGGTGTCCTGACACAGGCAGCTCTCGATGTGGGTGTAAGTGTGCCTCAGGGAGCGGCCGTCAGGGCAGCTCAGCTGCACCTCTCGCTGGCTGGTGCGCTCCTCCTTACAGCAAGAGCACTGGTAGTCCAGGGCCTGGGCCTCCGCCGAGTACCTGGGGGAGGGCCGCGGTGAGGAGCCGCTCCCTGGGGCGTGGGACACCCCCCCCCTGCTCTGCCTCCCCCAGCAGGGCACACGCAGGGCCTGGGACTCACATGACAAAGGTCCCACAGGACCCAGAGCAGGAATTCATTGTGACTTTCTTGGTGCAGCCGGAGTAAGAAATTTCCTTGGTAATGGGGACGGTGGAACAGTGGATCCTGGTCTCATTGCGAGGGATGCCTGGCAAGAGGGGGTGGAGGCTCTGGGGTGGGGGCTCCACACCTTCGAGGGACCTACAGGTTCTTCCCTCACGGCTTCTTGTCCCTCCCCAAGTGCGCCTGGCCTCAGCTGCCCCCCAGCAAGCAGGGCACCCCAGGTGATGCCCTCAAATTTAGCATCCAGTGGAGAGTGGCCCAGAGGGGACAGGATCCCAGGACACCGTGCCCCGTGCCTCTTCCCCTCGAGGGTCCCAGCTGGAGACCCCCTGCCTGGCTGCGCCTTGTGCCCTGGGAGCCTCCCTGCCAGCAGCCTGCACTCACATTTCCGGCAGCATCCATTGGGCATGAGTGTGATGGAGCCCTGGAGGGAAGGAGAAGGAGCCTGGGATCCGGGACTGCCCCCGACGGGCTGCACCCCTCCTGCCACAGGGTGGGAAGGGACAGGGACTAGCCTGGCCCTGGGGACCCCCACTCACGGGCAGGCAGATGCTGGGGTCAAAGTCAGGGCAGGTGATGTTGGAGACGGAGGAGATGAGCTGGTTGTGGATTTTCACACAGCTGAAGAAGGTGCAATTGTTCGTGGGGTCGTGACTCATGCCCCCGGGCTGTGGGGCACAGGGCAATGTGGTGAGGGACCCAGCAGGAGGCCCGGCTGGCGGGCCCAGAGCCACCAGGTGACACCCAGGGGGGCCCGGGACAGCCAGCGGCCTCTAGTCCACAGACACGTCCACCTCCTAACCCCCAGCACCTGCAGATGTGACCTTATTTGGAAAAAAGGGTGTTTATAGATGTGATTAAGCTAAAGGTCTCAAGATGAGACCATCCTGGATTACACAGGTGGCCCTAAATCCAATGACCAGGGTCCTTATAGAGAGAGGAGGGGCCACGGGAAGATGCGAGGCAGAGAGTGGACAGATGCGGCCACAAACCCAGGGCCGCCTGGAGCCCCAGAAGCTGATGAGGCAGGAAGGTCCCCCAGAGCCTTTGGAGGGAGCATGGCCCTGCAACACCTTGAGCTTGGACTCGGGCTCCACACTGGGAAAGTCAGTCACTCCCGGTGTTTCCAGCCCTAGTCTCTCGTCACTCGTCACGGTCACCCCAGGACCCTTGCACAGCCATGCCCAGCCCTGGGGAGACCCAGCCAGGGGCAGCAGGAGTCATCCCAGGCCTCGCCCACGGCTCCAGGTCGGCCCCTCCCATGTCAAGAGACGGGAGGTGAGCAGGTGGAGCTCCCTGTGCACCTTTAGGATGATGTTCTCCGTGCTGGGTCTTTTGATGATGCAGTGGGTCTGCTGACACTTGCCACAGCACTCCCCAGGGACGTCCACCAGCTCGAAGCCCTGCGAGACACGCAGGCTCAGGTTGGCGTGGGGAGGAGAGGAGCCGGGAGACAGGCGAGGGTGGCTCTCGGGGACGGGGTGGCTTACGGGGCTACAGGAGTTATCGCAGGGCACATGGGTGCAGGAGATGACGTTGAGCTGTGAGCTGCTATTCCTGTCGCTGGTGCAGACACAGTCCTGGCACTTGGAGGAATACACTGGGGACCCGGGCTGAGGGCCCAGGGAGGGCGGGTGAGACAGGGCCACCTCCACGCCTCCCGCCCCCACCTGCAGGAGGGCTGCCCCCGCCCCCGGCACCCTGGCCAGCCAGAGAGCCTGCCCGGGAACCCCACCCCTGGGCCCAGGGCTCACCTGGTACTCAGCATTCCCGTGCACGCACACACCCTTGGGCGCTGGGAGGAAGGGAGTGGGGACGTGGGTCAGGCTGGCCTGCCTGACCCCGCGACCGACGCCCAGCCGCTGGACGGCACAGGCACTCGGGCCCAGGGAGGGCACGCATACCGCGTGGAGCGACCCTGCCCGCGGTTCCCAGACCCCCAGGCCCCACTGACCACAAGAGTAAGACGGACAGCACTTCCCAGGACTGGTCTCGCTCCTCACTTCGAAGCCCAGCGGGCACTGGGGCGGCAACCCCTCGCACAGGCTGGTATTGCACTCTGGGGGGAGAGGGGGACAGTGGGAAGGGCAGGGCCTGCAGGCAGCGCCCCCCCCACACACACACCCCCAGCTCGGGTGGGCGGCCCAGCCCCCTCAGGCCCCCAGGTCAGAGGCGTCCTGGCTCAACGGGGAGGTGAGAACAGCCCGGGGTGGGTGGCAGGGTGAGCCCCAGGCACCCAGCGCTGCCCGGGGGGCGGCCTTACTGCAGGTCGTGATGTTACAGCACGTGTCCGCGGGGTTGACCTCCGTGACCAGGTAGGTGCCTTCCTCCGTGCAGGTGACCGGCTCCTGGCGGCACTCCTTGGGTTGGCAGATGATGCCGCGCCCGCCCTCCAGGCACACGCAGTCCTTGCAGTCAAACTGAAAGTGCTCCCCGAACTGCAGGGAGGAAGTGGGTGGGCAGGGGGTCACAGCGCCAGCCCCCCTCGGCCACGTGCCAGGGCCGCACCGCAGCACGCCGGCACCCAGCCAGGAGGAGGCACCGCAATGGGCGTCGCACCAAGGGTCCCGTGGGAAACCTGTGCCCTCCCCACCTCCCAGCACATGGGGCCACATCGCTGACACCATAGCCTTGACCCGCTCCTAGCATTTGCCTCCACGGGCCCGGCACACAGCAAATGCGCCACTCGTGCGGGGGGGTTCACGGAATAGAGCTAAGGAATTGGCCACGTGTGGGAAACACGGACAACACTGCGGTGGCCAAGATGTCTCGGGTTTAGAACGGAGCATCAGGTGACCCATGGGTGGTTGGCATGAAGGGGTGGGTGGGTGGATGGGTGGATGGACAGTTGGACAAAGGGACAGGCAGATCATTGGGTGAGTGCACGGATGGGTAGAAGGAAGGAAAGAGAGGGAGTAGGGAAGGGTGGGGGGAGGGAGGAGGGGAGAGGTGGACGGGTGGGTGGGCGCCCAGCGGACACCCCTGCTGGTTCAGCCTTCCGGGACTTAAATGACATGACTCAGGGTTTGAGACCCCCAGACTCTTGTGTGCAACCCACCCTAGCCCCCCAAATTCCGGGCTTGTGGGTGAACCCCACCCCAGCACCAAGAGGAAGGGCCTACCTTTCTAGGCACATCGTCAGGTCCCACACAGCCTGGGGAGGGAGAGAGCACAGTCCGTTAGCAGAGCCCGGTGCCGGAGGGCTGGGGTGGGCTCCGCCCAGCGATGAGGGTGGACAGCATACCACACAAGTCCACACAGACGTCGAATCCTGGGGCGTAGTTCGTGGTGCCCTCGGGGCAGAAGCAGCCTTCCACCAGGCCAGTGCTCCTCTGCTTTGGGCGTCTGGGGGTGGGAGGGCATCATGAGACGGGTGTGCGCATGGGCTGGGGGGGCAGGCACGCTGGGACCCGACGCACAGCCTGAGGGGCGAGCCCGCCGTCCCTGCGCACCTTGCGGCGACTAAGCTAGACTCGCAGGAGGGCTCGTCTGCAGGACCACAGGCCCGGTACTCCCTGTGAGGTGGGCACGTCATCGCTGCAGGAAGGAGGTAGGACTCAGAGGGGCCAGAGCTGGGAGGGAGGAGCCTGTGGGCCCCCCGGCGAGGGGCAGGCCTGCCCAGCCACTCCTGCGATGGCTGAGGGTGACGGGCCACTGGTGCTGCCCACCTCAGCCCCCCATGCCATCCCTGAGCTGGGACGCAGGCTGGCTGTAGCCCCAAGCCCCCAACCCCCCAAGCCCGCCCTTCTTCTCACCCCAAGGCCCAGGCCTGCTCTCCCTGTTCTCCCAGCCCTCCCACCCCGCTGTGGCTTCAGGCCGGGTGCAGCGCCCAGCAGAGCCCAGAGCCCCGATCTGGCCCACGGGACCACAGGGCTGGGGCAGGGGCAGGCAGGCACGCACAGCAGACCCCATGGGTGTGGTTCCGCCAGTCGATGCAGATGTTCGCCTGGGCACAGATGGTGGCATAGGTCTGCAGGCTGGCACACTCCAGGCCTGTGTCAGGCACAAGGCAGCTGTCGAACATGCAGGCTTCGTAGTAGTGCTGGGGGGGTACCAAGGCATGGCACGGGGCAAACAAGCTGTGAGGGAGGGGGCGCGGGTCACACTCTGGCCAGCCCTCCCCACCTGCCCAGCACCTCCGCCCAGCTGCCCCCCTGGAGCCTGGCTCAGCCCTCATCCCACCGAATGAGCGCCGGTGGGCGGACAGTGGCCGGAGGCGAGGGAGCTCCACGCTCAGTGGCTGCCGGGTGCCGGGACCCCTGCCAGCAACCCTGGCGGAGGGCCACCCAGCGTCAACTTGCACACCTCTGGGGACAAGGCCCTTGCTCGTATGGCTGCCAGCTTTGGGGGTGCCTCCCTGACCCAGCCCTGAATGCTAGCTCTGGCCCTGGTCAGCCACTCTCCATAAGGCCCCCAGCTCAGCCGACCCTGCTGAGGCAGGAGAGATCTGCCAGAAAAAGCCCAGGGATATCTGACAAGACAGCTCAGCCCCGTAGACATCAGGAGCCCCTGCCCTGGGCCCTCCGGGACCCAGCACCTGCCCGTGGTGCCCTGACTTCCCTCTGACACCCCAGCCCTGTGCTCAGCCCCCTGCCTTGGCGCCTCTCTGCAGACAGGGGTGTGGCACAGAGAGGGGAGAGGTAGCCGCTCCCCGAGACCCTGCAGTTCGCTACTGAAGGGCAGGGGCACCTGTCTTTTATGAGCTCGCAGAGAGGAGAGGCGCAGTCCTTGTGGGAGGTGGTGTTGCCCCCCAGCGGCGTGATGGTCGGTCTCTTGGTGGTGACTCTGGTTTGGGGACAGTGTGGCTTGGAGGGGTCGTTCACCGTCCACTGATCAGCTGCGAACTCGCAGCTGGAAACGACCTCCCCACTGGGTAGCACACAGTCATCCACAGTGTTGTTGGTGCACGTGCCTGTGTTGGGAGGAAGCCCACGTCGTACTAGCACCAGGCCCCACAGCCCCCTTCTCCAGCCCAGGTCCCCCGGTGACCGTCAGGCCGGGGCCGAGGGCACAGAACAGGCAGGACTCCCACTGGCCTCTTTCCACGGGGCCCCGAGCCAGGGAGCAGGAGAACCTCCGCTGGGCTGGCAGGGGCTCACACCCAGCCTCCCCCCACCCCAAGCCGCCCTCCTCAGGGCCGAGGGGCTCACCACACTGGCCCTTGGTGTTGTTGCCAAACAGGTGGTAGGGCAACCTGATGGAGAAGGAAAGTCCATTGTAGGAGATGAGGGCGCCCAGCTTGGAGATTTCCGCCACGTAGCTGATGCCGGATTGGTACACGTGCAGCTCATTCTTTGTGTAGGGCAGGGCCACCACCTGCCTGTTGACCTGCACCTGTGGCCGGACACCCGGGGTCAGGACGGCCAGTGGGGCAGGCATGGTGGCTGCTCACCTGGGGCCCAGCCCCAGCCGCCTCAGGAAACAGAGCCTCATAGGTCCAACAGGGGTGAGTCGGGGCAAGCTGAGTCTTCAGAGAGCACCTGGGATCACCCCACCCCGGCCTGTTTTCAGGCCTGTGTGTCCAGTGGGGGATCTCTGCCCGGCCCCTGCCCTGGTCCCTTCCCCACTTCCTTCCCATTGCTCTGGGCCAGACTTGTCCCGGACGGTCCCTGAGGGAGGTCGCGAGGACACTGCGCTCAGAGGCCCCTGGAGTCGCCGGGGGTGCATGCCGAGGGCAGAGCTCCCCAGGCCACAGGAACCAGCAACCCCACCGGAGTGTGTGCCCAGTGCCTGGGCTCGGGAAGGGGGCTTCTGCCACGGAGTCCTGGGACTAGGGCAGGGGGTGGGAGCCTGAGTGGGGGAGGTCAAGGGGTCCCTGAAGGCCCCTGGAGGGCCTGAGAGAACAGCCCCGGCTCCTGCCAAGTGAGGGAACCGGCACACAGGTGCACCCCGCCTGGGTGTCCTCGACCTTGCCACACACCTGAACCTTGATGGGCATCATCTGCAGCGTCTTGATCAGCACCTCCTGGGACTCGTAACGCACGATGAGTGTGCGGGGGCAGGACACCTGGTCGTTGACGTCACAGTGGTAGTTGTCGATGTAGACCCCGAAGTCGTCCGGCATGCGGGTGGCCCTCTCCACCAGCACGTATGTGCAGTTGCCCTGGTAGCTGTAGTACAGCCCGTCGAACGTGACGTAGTGTGGGTCCCCCCAGCCGGTGCAGTAACCTGCAGAGGGAGCTCCGCTGAGCCACACCGAGCCCCGGGCCGGGGGCTGCGCCAGGGGCAGAAGCTGGAGGGAGCCCAGGCATGGGTGGGAACAGCAGGCAGGAATCAAGGGGGGGCCGCACATTCCGGTTCTGGGGCGTGCAGGGCATCCAAGCCCGTTCTGTGGGGCGGAGCCTCGCTTTGGAGCCAGAAGGCCCGGGTTCTGAGTCCAGCTCTGCTCTTCCAACCCCAGGGGCAGCCTCATTCTGTGCAGGTGGGGCTGCGCTCCCCCAGGCAAGCCCCGCCCCCCGCCCGGACCCCCTGCCTGAGACGCAAGCAGGAAGCCCACTGCAGGCGGCCATCATGTCCAGCCAAGTACCTTGGGTCCCACCGCCCCCACCCACAGAAGGGAGGAGGCAGAGGGTCCGGCGGCATCAGGGGGCTTACAGTCGCACTCCCAGTGCGGGCAGCAGTCGTGGGGACCCTTGATGAGCACGGGCTGGAGGCCATTGGAGCAGGTGGGCTTGGGCGGGACCTCACACTCCATCTCCACGAGCTCCACCGTGTTGTTGTACTTGCAAATCGCCATGGTGCAGTTACACAGCCACCACGTCTCGTTCTCCTACAGCGGGAAGGGCACAGGATCAGCGGGGACCAGCCTGGACCCCCCCACCCCCGCTGGAGGCTGGGGCACCGGGCACCCCGTGCAGGAGGCACCTCACTGGGGCAAGGAAGGCATGGGTGAGAAGTGGGGGGCTCCAGTGGACCCTGCACCCAAAAGGCTGCTTGAAGCCTCAGTGGTGGTGCAGGGCGTAGGGACAGGGGCGTCTTGGATGACCAGCAGAAAGGCAGTGTCTGGGCTCTGGGTACCTGGCTGGTGGGTGAGTGTGCTCAGTGCCAAGGGGACAAAAAGTAGCACACTGACCTGTCTGGGAGGATCAAAGTCTGGGCACGCAGGGGGCTTGGTGGTGGCCGGTGTGCTCGATGCTGTGGGCGTGGGTGGTTTGGGTGTTGAAGCAGGTGTCGGCTTGGAAGGGCTGGGTGTTGGGGAGGGTGTGGATGGGCACGACCAGTTGAAAATCTCCATGGTGCAGGACAATGAGCAGTTCACATAATAGCAGGTGTCCCCGTGCGTGCCATTGTACATCATCTCACCTGCGAGGGGAGAGACCAGTCCTCCGCTGTCCAGACAGGGCTGGCCACCAGGGCATGCAGGCAGGTCCCCACGAGGCCACCAACCCCCACTTTCCTGATTCATGGCCACAGCAAAGCGGGGCTGACCACAGGGACAGCCGCCCACACCCAGCATCCAGCTTCCCAAGTGAGCTCCTGGTTTAAACTGACGCCTGACCCCCAACCACTGGGAAAAGCAGAGACCAAAGCCCCACCAGCCTCTGTCGCCTGAAAGCCAGAGGGAAAAGCTTGGGTACCTGGTGTGTAGTAGGTGTCGTTCAAAACGCAGCAGATGACCTGACTGGAAGAGATGACTGAGACTGTGCTTATGGTGAGGTTGGGGGTGGAGATCGGGGTCAGTGTAGGGGTGGGCACATGGGAGGTCGTGGTGCTGGTGGTCTGTGGCCTGGATGGCGTGGGCGGTGTGGAGGTTCCTGTGGTGGTCGTTGACACAGTCGTGGGAGTGGGCGTGGAGGGGGCTCCTGGGATGGGCGAGGGGGGCCCGGTTATAGTTTCGCCGGTGGGGGTGGTCTTCGAGGAGGTGGGACCAGAGGTCTGCATGCCTGTAAAAAAGAAGGTTTCAGGTGGGAGCTGATAGCATCCACTCATCTGAGAGACCACAGGGGCCTGATGGCAAATGCAGCCACCTCGCAGAAAACCTACTCAAGGCGTGGCACGTGGCATGGAAAGGCCGACGTCCACTTTCCTGGCTCTCAGTCTCAAGGTAGGGCAAAGTGAGCAGGGCCCACCATCCAGTGTTAGGTCCACAGCGGTGAGGCTGAAGGGGTTGTCACAACATGGTCCATCTGAGATTATGCTGACCAGCTGCCCTCTGAAGCCCCATGGGGAGGTGCCGGCAGAAGTGGGAGACAGAAGGAGGGTCTCCCAGGGCACCTGACCGGAGCCTCCATTCCCAGCCCTGGCCCCACATGCCACAGTGGGGCCCCCTCCCTGGACTTCTTTGCCCATATTGCCCATCACACAGCCAAGGATTGAGGAACAGGACCTCAGGAAGCTGTGCCTGAAGAGACATCTTGTGGGGGGGAAGTGGGGAGCTCTCTGCTCTGCTGCCCACACCTCATGTCTGAGAAGCTGTATGGCCCCCTGGCAGGAAAGCTTGCTCTCCTAGGGTTAGGAGGACTCTGAGCACACCACTAGCAATCACACTAGCTCCGTGGCGCTTATGTACCTGGAGTGCTGGTAGCAGGAGTGGGAGGAGAAGGCGAAGTGCCTCCTGTGGTAGTGCCCTTTGTTTCTGTTGGCGGGGAGGGCGATAGTGTGCTGGATGTCTCCACGATTGTTGGGGTGGTGGTCAGAAGCATGGTTGATTCTGTGAAAAGAAGTAAGATGATCTCAGAGTTTGGAGGAAAGGAGGGCTCAGGTGGGGGTTTTGGCATGGTGGTCTTACCTGCAGGTTCAGTGCCCGTGGTAGTGGTGATGGTCGGGGTGCTCGTGGTGGTGGTCGTCGTCGTGGCGGTCAGGGTTGGGGTCGGGGTCTCAGTGCCCGTGGTAGTGCTGATGGTCGGGGTTGGAGTTGTGGTTCCTGTGGTGGTTGTGGTCAAGGTGGTGCTCGGAGTGGTGGTGATGGTGGGGGTCGGGGTCTCAGTGCCCATGGTAGTGCTGATGGTAGGGGTTGGGGTTGTGGTTCCTGTGGTGGTTGTGGTCGAGGTGGTGCTTAGAGTGGTGGTGATGGTGGGGGTCGGAGTTGGTGTGCCCGTGGTGGTGGTAGAAGTGGTGGTGCTCGGAGTGGCGGTGATGGTGGGGGTCGGGGT